CGGAACTCCAGGGCTGAATCCTTATCTGTAACGAATAAACCGAAGTTTCTATCCGTTAAGGCTATACTTGTACAAAAAGGAATACCAGTAACATCTGTCTTAACGCAGTAAAGTACCTTAGCCATGTGAGAGTTATTCATCTGAGAAATTCTGACTCGACTCCAGAAATAAAATTGAGATATTTTGCTGCTCTACGAGCCTATTCACGTAACCAAGGCTGAATTGATTTCACAAGGATAAAGTTGTTTTGATTACTTACTTGGACTGAGGGAGAATTCTGAAGAGATTGATTACTCGAGAAAATTTTCGTTCAGATTCTTTTATTGAAATGAGGAAGAGTTCTGATAAGAATGTATACTCAACTGGTTAAGGATTAGTGGAGAATCCGTATTTCTATAAAAAGCTACTCGAAGATATGGAAGAGTTGATGAAAGTTTCATTTCTATAATTATGTGACATGAATGAATTTCGAGGACGAAATTCTTTTAAGGAGGGGAGAATTGTAACACCCCAATTTAGGGGCTAAAATTAAGAAATTATAAAGTGGCAGATTTAATTGATATTTTGAAAGAAACATTGGGGATTAAATTGTAAAGTTTTAAAGTTGGCAGACCGTTTTATAAAGTGCAGGAAATTCAGTGGCTAAACCCATGATTTAACCATTTCTTATATATGATGAATTATAAGCTCCTCCCCGTGCGCAGGTTTCATATTTTCCAGATTTCCCTTCTCCAACAACCCAACTTCCAACTCCGATCTACTCGCCGTCCGACCTCCAAACGACGAGCCGAAACCACCATCGTGTTCGTTGTCAATCGAGGAACAAAACCGCTCAAACCTTTCGTCGTGAATCATCGCCGTTCGTCGTGAATTTCAGTCGGAAGTATCATCGGTAATAACTCGGTTTTAGTTGGTTTTTCATAGATTCACGACGATCGAGTCATCTGTTTACGACACCTCCCGCACCATCGTGTTCGTTGCATCGTTCTGAGTTTGCCGGTGTCATCCTTGGTCTCCGTCGACGGCGGCGCGTGAGGAGGTGAAGCGGTCAAAGTTTCCGATTTGTTGAAATCGAGCTCTCCGCCGTTCAAAATTGTGAACCGAGCTTTGTAAGTATCTCAAAATCGCTCAAAATAATTTTTAGAAATTTTTCCGGGATTTTAGCACTGTTCACGCGCCCCCACTGCGCGTGGGGAAGAAAAAAATGACCGGTTTGACTGGTTTTGGTGCATAGTTGACCGGTTTGACCGGTCACAACCCGACCCGACCCGTTTACCTGACCCGACCCGTTTACCCGACCTGTTGACTCGACCCGTTGACCCATTGACCGTTGACCGTCGTTGACCACTGTTGACCAAAACTTTGACTGGCTTTGACCGGGCATTAAACGACCTTTGACTTCGACCGAGTATACCTATCCTGACATTTTTCGACGTTCCAAATCCGATTCCGCTGTTCGTTTTTCGAAATTAGAACCCGAAGGCCTCGAAATATCCGGTCAAACCCGTTGACTTTGATTTTGATTGAAAATTCCAAATTTCCGAAAAGTCACATTTTATGCTTTCGACGTCCTGAATCCGAATCCGAAGTCCGTTTCGCCAAATTCGAACCCGGTAAGCCGTCTTTCACTGATTTATCACCCGATTTGATCCGTTTATCGCAATTAAGCTCCGTTTATGATATAATTTATGTTGATATGTATCTGAGGAATTATTTGAAGTTGAATTAAAGATCAAAGGCATTCAAATGGAATTTTTATGGTCGATCGGTATTGCACGGAAATTGAGGTAATACTTTACTACCTCTTTATGCTTTATGGAACATGTTGATATTGGTAAATGCATGAATAAGATAATGTTGGTCACTTTTGTGGAGTTGAATAATTTATTCACTCGATATGAATGTGGTAGAAATTCTGTAACTGAATACGGATCGAATGACTAAGATAAGAGATTGATAATTGTTAGAATTAAATTACAAGTTTGTGATTGGTGATAAAGAAATCAGCTCTGGATTTGTAACTTATATTTTATATCATCAAGGGTTAAATGTTAAAGATACTTGGATGAAAAATTATGAGAATACTCCGATATGGTAAAATTACGAAATTACCCTTATGTTGGAAAATGATAAGAATTGCCCCTGGAAGTTGGTTAATAACTCTGAAAAGACATATTGATCCGATATAACTACTGATGTGCATAAGAAATGTTAGTTTTATTTGGAAATTATGGATAACCGGTTTTAATCCTATGAGAGTTTGTGAAGGAATCATTTCAAAATCAAAGAATGTTCGGGAAAGCAATTGATCATAGGATCTCTAAATTATAATTATTTTCGTTAAGTGCTAATATTGAAATTATTTGGTTAAGAAATTACGAAAATGCCATTGAGAGATAAAATAGTCTGAATTGACCCTGAATGAGAGAGTACTTTGAGGATTTGTACTTAACTCGATTAAGTACGAATTTAATTGTTAAGATCCTATCTTTGTACAGAAAAATTTATAATATTCCGTTTGTAAAATCTGAGAAGACACTTGACCCGAAAATATTCGAATAAGGAGTAAATACTTGAAGAGTAATTTATTGGAGGTATTCTGCTGACATAATTGTTCGAAAGGACTGAAGTAAATGATAAGATTGAATTAAATAATAAGACCGGATGGAAGGAAATGATTGAAATATTCTAGAATTATAAAATGACCAAATTACCCCTGGAATGGAAATAACTCAAGAATGTCACCAAGCTCAGGAATGAATGGATATACTCAAGCTTTGAAATGAATAGAAAAAAATGTTAAGCACCAAAATGACCAAAATGCCCTTATGACCTAGAATAAGTAAATGTCTTGGATTAATTAAGAAATCCAAATAAACATGGATGTTGTGCTACTAGTAAAAGTTGTGAAACGCAACTTAAGTGATTAACCAACGTTAGTACTATATCATTACCTGAATGATATAAGTATCACTTGAATGTTTGTTCATCTGCTCAAATTTGGATCGATGATAATTCTGGAAGTACTTGGCGCAACTCAACTCTAGAGCGCATACAGTACTAATAAGTGGGTAGTCGTTAGTCAAATCAACCACGAATACCAGAATGACTTTATTATATGAATAAATTGAAATGAAATGTAGTACAACGTGTATTTGAAATTCAGAAACGTCTGAATTATTCTGGAAAACTTTAAAGTAATCGGGATAGACTTGCTTACCAAACGAACTAAGTAACATCAATGAGTAAGGATTAAATAGGTGATTTGATGAGTTTGGAAACACTGTTGAACTTACATGATGAATTGTCATTATGGGTTATGAGCCATGGATCAAGTACGTCAGTATTTCCTGATATTGTTGAAACGTGGAAATGAAATAAAGACCGTTGGAAGATTTATTCAGTGATGATTATGGGGATGATCTATGGATCTGCACTATGGTATTAAAGAGTGAATACACTGGAAGGATAATGAATTGACTTGTTGACATGCATCAGTTTGAGAGTTGTGTAACTCGAGTTATTTGATAATATGATCGATAGTCGTAGATTGTAAATGACTTGAATCTTCGATTCTATATTTCATCTAAAATCACTTCGGTCATGTTTGAAAAAAAAACAAGTAACACAGATGGAAAAGATTCTGAATATCTCATTTGGTTCAATTGGGCTGAAATCCTATGAATTTAAAGTATATTCCTGAATACCCCTGATTGTTTGGGTAATGGAATCACTCGCAGTAAATCTGAATTTAGAATTATTATGTATAAAGGTTCCTGAACGTTTTCCTAAAGCACACGAAAATATAGTGGGATTCTAATGTATCAACATTAAATGTCTGGCTAGATCGGTTAGTAATCGATTCTCCTCAATAGGACCTTGTTCCAGGAATTCGATCAAATTTCATAAGTTTCATGTTATCCAAAATGATAACTACAATGGCCTCTGGAAATACTGGGATTCTCTAGTGTGTTCCCTACTTATTACTGAACTGTTTTATTGGTTTTAATATGTGGTACACCGAATTCATTGGTTATTGTTTTATGGATGCACCAATTTAATGTGACAATTTATGGAATATGGCTGCTATCTAATTTTTGTTTTGAAATGGTATATGATTACCATGTTTTTGGATTTATGGAATTTATGTCACGGTGCAATTGAATTTTGGAATTGAATTACGATGGAATAGCTCTGATCAAGCTAAATGGGCCTAATGTGACTCTTGAGGGCCCCAAGATGTTTCATTAGGTCGGCTTTCCTTTGCTGTGTGCTTAGGGTAAGCTATATGGACTTATTGACTTGGGCTTAAGGATACAAGCTTCATAGCCTATCCTTAAGTCGGCTTTCTTTTTGCTATGTGCATAAAGTAAGCTATATGGAAAATAATTTTGGGAACTATTGATGGTGTACCAGAAAAGGGTTTAAACTATGATTTTCAAAAGTTAAACTCTTTTACGAAATTGTGAGATTTACTGGACTATGATTTGTACCTATTATGATTTTATTATACTGTTGGAACACACTAGACATCCTATTCGATCTCCTGAAAATGTCATACTTTGAAAGGTTTCTTATGAACTGAGATTCATGGCTTCTACTCGATGAACTTCTAAGGGAACCCCAAATTATTTTGCAAGCTGGTATACATATGATTCAATAAGGAAATTATATGGCTTTCCATTTATCTACATGTCATGTAGCATCATCTGGTAGTTCTGTATTACTGAGCTTTCCAAAGCTCACTCTATTACTCACCTTTTCAGGTTAAAACAATTGTACCAGTGCATCTATCGACTTCAGTAAGGGAGTTCTTCCGGCGTGGTTGCAGAGTATGGTACTTGTGATTAGGGGGCATGTAATTGTATTTTGATTTATATACGAGTTTAGAAATCTGTTTTATTTTTAAATAGTGATAAATGATTTTATAAGTTTACATGTTCTGATAAAAAGTTTTAAAATTTCCGTTATTTTTACGGTGGGTCGCTCCGGTGGCCCTAATGTGACTTCCCGAATCGGATCGGGCTACCCGCATCGGTTTGAGGTGTTACATAGAGAGTTTCAGTACATCATTCTATAAATAATCTAAAAATTTGTATTATACAGATTTGCGTTCCTTAGTTCCAACAATCTACACCACCTCTTGTCGATGGAAGCTGCATTCCTTTTACCAATATCTGTCCCAACACATTTTCTTTAGTAAGTTATTACCTGAAAAACTTGTCTAACTATGAAAAAGTACTTACAACTCAGAGTGGGTTCCGATTTTCGGCATGCTTCCGAGCAAATGTCCTACGACGGAAAAAACCGTAGATTTATACACGTTTTTTGCTCTAATGCAAAACCGACATTCGCCCAAATACGGATAATTAGATTAGTTTTCAGTATATATACCCTGGTGGAGGTTGTTAGCCGGATTGTGTCCTGTATCAGTGAATCCAGGTTCGCTTCATATCCTGGTTTCACATAGATAACCTGCAGAATCACATATGATGGATATATTGAGTAGAGTTCTTAATGTATGAGTTATATTCATCACGTTCGCGGCGATTACGAAACGAAGAGTTTAGAGTTCCGAGACATACCGATGGATCATCTCCACCGATCTCAGGCAACTGATGAGTTGCATCATGGTCTTTATTCGAAGCCAGGACCCAAACGTTGAAGTTTGTATCAATCTGATGAAAGTTCCAATTTAGAAATGCTAAATTGCTAGATTTTCTAAGGATGCCGTGTATACGAACATAAACTCGAACTCAAACTCAATTCAATTGTATCATGCAGTTGCCCCTAAAAGGTATCTACAATACCTGTCTGCAATATGGAGAAGAACAGATGCTACATTTCCTGGTGAAAGATGTAATAATCCTTCCGTCCACTGAAAGCCCAAAGCTGGCATGCTGCATTTTGTATAGTTTATTTAAACATATAAGTTGAGCAGTTAGCCTTCAGTACACCAATTTTAGGCACTTGATGAAAGAACAAAACATGGTAAAACTATGTATTATTTCCGGATACATTGACTAATATTTAAGAGGCTAATTTCGTTATTACTCTTTTATCGTATTCAAAATTCCCTACTAATTTGCATTTGAGGAGGATTATTAGTAATGCAAATATTAAAGAGTTATTTTTAAAGAACTAGTTATCCATATTTAGAGAGTGGTTCATTGAGAAGTTGTCATTGAACAATTTGCCCCTTTACTATTGTTATAAAATGAGTCTTTCTCCTTAATTGATCATACGATTGATGGTTTTAGTATTTTTTTTAGAAAAATATTCTATTGAAGAGAGAAGCACAAGCGAGTTCTATTTGTTCACTTTGGATATATGAGGTTTGGAAGGCTATGTTAATTTTGAGGGACAATATTCACTTTCGAGATTTCACTAATTCTGATAAAATTTCTTCTAAAGCAATAACTTTTATCAAGACACATAAATATTTTGTATCATCTTCGTTATTTATTTATTATAAAAATTACTTACCATTGTAAATAATGTTATTTTATTTTGTAGCAGCTCTTTACCAACACTGGTAACTAGTTCCAACATGAAATCATAAGGGCGTGGGCTAAACTGACCTTTTGGATGCAAAGATTGATAGAAACCTGAGCATCCCTTTGTGCATCATCTTCGATCAAGTCAGCCAAGTTGAGGTCCTTAAGAGACACAAGGTAATCACAGCTCCATGTTCCATGCCATCTCCCGTCAGCCGTCGATATCGTGATAAGCCGGCGTCGATTAGTTCGACAGTCTTGCTTGTTAATACTCTGCAGCCAATAAAGGGTAACACAATTCAGTGAAATCTGATGAAAAAGAGAAGGAAATAAAAAATGGTTGAATGAAGGGTGTACCAGGGATGAATAATCATGCCTTTTGGATGAACTTGCTTTAACTCTAAAATTACTGGGATTGTGGGGCTGAAGTTTCTGGGAATTGAACTTAGACTGAAATGAGCCTGGCGTTTTGATGATGTTTGTTGCTGAGGATGATATTAAGGTGTTGGCTTCCGCCATTTTTGTTATGTAATCAGGAATGGTTGGATATATGTTGGCAATGGAAAGCTATCTAGTTTCACTCGGCAAATAGATAAGGATTTTATGGAGGGATATTATTGTCCCACATATAGATATTTTTTTCTTTATATTACGATTTCTTTTCAAAAATAAATAAATAAATAAATTTTGTTTCAAAACAGATTATTTTCTTATCGATAAAGTTAGACTTGTTTTTTTGACGTTATGAATTGAGTGAATTAATTTGAAGAATCTTCCTAATATATTTCTTTAATAATTAAGTTAAATTAAATGGTCAATAAATTAAACACTAATAAATATAAATAGTGTTTTCACGTAAAAATAATAATATTAATGATTTATACTGGGTTAATTTGGGTCCGGTCGGATTTATACTCTAAAAATCGGGTCGGATCAAAGTCGGGAGGAGGATATAAAATTTTCAAATCAAGTCAAATTCGAATGGAGGATACTTATTTACAGATGAAGTCGAGTGGACTAAAAACTCGACCCTAACCCAACACGTTTCCATCCCTACCTATATTAGAGTTTTACCACCTTAAAAAGAATTGCATAAATACGGGATGACTTAATATTGTTGGGAAAATTTTAATATAAAATTTAAAAATTATATTTTTTTGCTTTATAAATTTGAATTGAATATAATATATTATATGTTTAAAGACTTTCAACCATTTGATAATGAACACTCACACCCCTAATATTCGCAGTGTTCAAACCTGAGACATTGAAGAATAACAATAAATCTCTTAATTAGGGGCGAGCGTTCGATCGAGTCGAGTAAAAAAATTTCGAGTTGACGAGTCCTACTTTTCAACTCGGACTTGACTTGAATTTTTTTCGATTCGAGTCTAGTCGAGTTTATAAAATTCGAGTCGAGCCGATTTTTTGAGTTTCTGTTTAAATTTAATTATAAATATTTATAATATTATTTGGTTCTAATTTAAGTGATTTTCTATAACCATATATATAATACAAATATATTTCTTCATTTTTGTTTCATATGTGATATACATATATCATACAAAGTCCAAGGACTAGACCTAAACTTGAAAATTAATCCACTAATTATTAAAAATTTTTAGTTATTCGAGTTGTATTTTACAACTCCATTTGAACTTGAATTTTTTTTATTCGAGTCGATTTTGTAAAATTTCAACTCAAAGTCAATTCGAATCGAGTTTTTTTAATTAAATCGAGTTGAAAAATTCGGTTTTTCGAGTCGAGACGAGTTTTGCTCACTCATACTCTTAATCACTAAAGTAGCTTGATTTTTGCATTTAAAAATTAGGGTAAATTACACGTTTAGTACCTAAACTATCAATTTTAGTCTACTTTAGTACCTAAACTTTCTATTTTTTCAAAACCATGCCTAAAGTTTAATTTTTGTTTCATTTTAGTACCCATCGTTAAAAATTTTAGTTTTTGTTTCATTTTAGTATAGATATTCAAAATTTAACTTTAAGTTTTGATTTTTTTTAAAAATTTAAGTACTAAAACATATCAAAATTGATAGTTTAGATACTAAATGTATAATTTACCCTGAAAATTATACTTATATATTAATATTGTAGTTATTATATCATTTGAGAGGTCCATATAAAATGTAACGGGCCTTTAATTCAAACTTTGAAAGATTGCACTATTTTTTAAAAGCAAAGTAGTGAAATTAATTTTCAATGAGTTTTGTCATTAATATCTATGGCAAGTGATTAAAAATCTTATGTTGCCCTCCATTTTCAAGATTTCGCCAAACAAAATTTCCTTTCACCCTCTCCGTAGGTAGTAATTATTAAAAAAAATTCATTGAGATTTAGGTAACTAGCCATATGAAGTAGTTTGAGTAAAACACTAAAATTTTGCCAAGTTTTGATATAGATTTGTGCCATACATTAATAAATTTATCTAACACAACGAGCATAAAAGTAGCAAATAAATTAAGGTAAATTATCTATTTGGAGCCCCACTTATTCTTATATTTATGCTTTAGTTAATTATTTTTAATAAAATTATATACAACGTAATGATTTGTTTCTATTTTAGTCAATAACTGTTAAGTTTCTATTAAAATTTAGGCTTAATATCAAAATAAGTGCCCAAATTATACCCTAAAACCCAAATAGGTGCATAAACTAATTTTCGTCTCATTTAGGTGCCTAACGTTACAACCGTTACCTGTTTAGGTGTCTGGGCTGTCAACGGTGTTACTTTATACCGTTAAGTGACACGTGTCACAATCTGGTGATTTAGAAATTTATTTTTAAATAAAATATCCAAAATATTATTATATTTATAAAAAACACTAACTTTTCTTATATTATAAAACAACCCCAAAATCTCAAATCCTAACCTTAATATGTCGTCGCCGCCCTTTCCGGCCACGACCACCACCACTGACGTAGTCCCTGCCATCATCCTACTCATACACTGTCGTATTTTCCGTCGATTGATCGTCGAAATCGCAATTTTAATCCTAGGGTTCCAGCGGTTTACAACGTTGATTTGTCGTCGATTGGTCACGATTTCATGTAGGTTTTGGTCGTCAGGGGGAGGGGAGGTCGGGTGGAGCTTCGTCGATGGAAAAAGGCAGTGGCCGGCTTGGATTTAGCGATTGAAATGAAGGTTTTCAAAGTTTTGGGTTTAATTCAAAATATGTTTTCTATTTTTATAAAAATATATAATTTTTATTTTTTAATTTTAAATAATTTTTTTAAAATTATCAGATTTTGACACGTGTCATTTAACGGGGAACTTAACACCGTTATAGGCCCAAGAACCTAAATGGGTAACGTTTGTAACGTTAGGCACCTGGATGGGACGAAAATTAGCTTAGGCACCTATTTGAGAAAAACGATATAGTTTGAGCACTTATTTTGGTATTACGCCTAAAATTTAACAGAGATAGTAACATGACATGGTATAATAGCAATTTTAGTCCCAAAGCATATACATTTTAAAGAATATGAACATTCAAGAAATTATTGTAGAGGAAAGACAAGGATGGGAAATTTGGGTTTTGACTCAAATATTTATGACGGTGATTAAATTGATAGAATTTAGGTCAAATTAATAGAATGTATAAGTTTTAAGATTAAAAATTGTTATTATGTCGGGTCACGTCATTATCTCTCTAAATTTTTAACGGTTAGTTATCAAAGTAGCAACAAAACATAATGTTAGATATATATTTTTTTAAAGAGCTGAATGACCAAAAACATAAACAGAAAAATAGATGAGATACCAAATATGTAATTTACCCAACGAATTAATTGCCATCCGGAAAAAAGACCGAAAAGAGAGAGTATCAAATGAAAAACTGAAAAATTAAAAGTTGAAATATTCAACATTCCAGCCAAATACAAAACACTTTGATATTGGAATGCATCGAGCTCAATTACAAAAACTATCATACCAGAAGGAAAAAAACAGTGGGCTCAATTATTCAAAATGACATACAACAATGACGAATTCAAATAAATTTTGTGAGTTGGACCAATATAAATATAATTAATAATTATCTAATGTAATTCATATATATTTTCAATTTAAAAAACTATTAACAATTATATATATAAATATATATTTGAATTGATTCTGAAAAAATATATTAATTGGACCGATATAATTTTTTGACATATTTAATACATGATTTTATTTAGGGTAAACTACCTATTTGGTCATCCTCCTATTATTTAATTTATGTTTTAGTCATTTTTTTCCAAAACCATACTTAACATTAGCTTTGGTTCTATTTTGATTTTGATAATAATTAAGTGACATGATGCTAATGTGTTTTTTTTAAATTATTTTTCAATCTTGACATGATATTATCTTATAATGAAGCGTCTAACATCACCGTTATTTTTTTAAAGACGAGTGACCAGTACATGTACAGACGTGCACAATGTGGGTAACGTGAATGTCCGAACCAATCATGCTCTTTGTGGGCTTGTGGATATTTTAACCCAAATGTGAAATATTTTTTTTTCTCAAATAGAGCATATATTTTCAAAATTTGTTTTGGAATTAAAAGGTTCATTGAATCAAAACAGTAATTTAGGAAATTGCTTGATTGCTTGATTCTCATTAAGGCTTCATTAGGTCAAAAATTTTCATTTGTTCACAATGTGAAACCACTATAAATACCGTGTAAACATACTAGGTTAAACAACTCAAAAACTATTCAAAAAGTTTTTCTCTCTTCTAGTTTTTCGATGATAGATGAAGGCAATGAATAGTTCGTGATCTCGATAGTTGTGCTACTGTACGATAATCAACTCGTTGTTATATCCCAGGAGACAGACGATCAAAGATCTCGAGCACCAAGGAGAGGCCGAAAATATGTCTTAAGAAAATTGCGTAGTTGCAGGCCTCAACTCGTTTCCAATCGTTTGTTCCGTAAAAATTGTGTATTTATTTCTATATTGTTCTTTTAGATTATCTAATAGAATAATTTTTTCATGTTATTAATTTTTTTATTCTTGATTCAGGTACACAAACTTTACGATGAGATACTCATTTTCGGAGGATATAAAAGGCCACCGGTGGAGCATTGCAAGAAGAAATCCAACAGAGAGAAACTCATCAATAAACGGGAAAAAATCGTAATACCTAAACAGAATCAAGCATCAAAAACATCGAGAACACAGAAAAAGCATCGAAATATCCAACATCAAAAACCATCACACATATAAAAGAAAGAAGCAGTCTCAGTAGTGCTCAGAGGGAGGAACGGTCATCAGGTTTTGTAAATTGTTGTCAGAAAAGGTGAAGGTCAAAACCTTGAATGTAGATCTACACCGTTTAATTTTTTAGGAAATTTGGGGCTCGAGTTCGGCTTCGGGACGTTGATAGGAGCATTTTTGGGTAGCCACTAGGATTCTGGCTACCAGGGACAGTGGTTGGAATGACGGTCCGGGCAGCGGGGTGTGGTCGGTCACATTACCATGTTCTGTCGAAAGATGACAGGGTATGTTGGGAATTACCAGCTCCTGATTCACTATTTCCAGGAGAGCCTGGCAGGTTCAGCCATCTGGTGGTATAATC